CACCGGCCCACAAAAACAAAAGTTGCGGGGGCTTTTAACCGTCCGTTTGACGCGTACACAATTTCGAGTAAATTGCGAAAATTGCTCTGTTTTATACCCGAGCGCACTTGTGCACAAGGGTGTATTAATTTTGTTCACATAACGGTTGTTTGTAACAGCCAAAACGAATCGAGATAGATATAGACAAATGTATACATAAATGATCAGGATGAAAAAAGAAATCGATTAAGCTATGTCTGTCTGTCCGTCCGTCTGTCCGTGTACACGATAACTCGAGCAAAAATTGAGATATCTCAACAAACTTTAGTATGTAGGTTTCTGTTAACCCAAGGTAGGTTGGTATTGAAAATGGGTGAAATCGGACTGTAACGGTAATTTCCAGAAACACGAAAACTGCGATATTTTAGTAACTACTTAATATAATTCACTCAAAATTGATATTTGTAACAAGTTTTAGACGAAAAATAAGAATATTATAAATTTTTGGAAAATGGGCGTAGCCACGCCCACTTATCGTTACATGTGTATATCTTGGTAACCGCTGCACCAATTTCCTCCAAACTTGGCACAGTTGTTGGCCTTCGCACAACATAAAAAATCGCTGAAACTTTTTAAAATCGGACAATAACCACGCCCACATCCCATATAACGGTAATTTAGAGAAATAGAAAATCTTCGATAATTCAGTAAATATTGAAGCTAATTTATTCAAAATTGGTGCTTGCAACAATTCTTTACCAAGAAATACGTTTATGGTAAAATTTTGGAAAATGGGCGTGGCACCGCCCACTTATGATCACATATAAGTATATCGGTAACCGTTCTGCCAGTTTGTACCAAACTCGGTGTGGTTATTGTGCTTGCCACATATAAGCAAAACGTTGAAAATCATTGAAATCGGACTAAAATAACGGCCGCTTCTCGTGTAACGGTAAATTTCAGAAATGCTTGAAACTTCAATATTTCGAAATTGAAGGACGCTAATTTACTCAAAATTGATACACCACGGCTTACCATCTAGCGGAAGGTTTCGGAAAGGTGAAAAAACATATATTTAATACTTGCGCCGGGTATTTAATGTTCGGTTCCGCCCGAACTTAGACTTTCTTACTTGTTGCTATTTTTTCGCTTTTTCATAATTTACTGTACGTGTCAAACGGACCTCAGATTCGGATTCATTAGGTCAAAATACATGTCAGTAGGTGGGTCTGGTAAAAAGTACGCGACATTTTTTTTTTGTTTATGGACTTTACCAAAAATTGCCAGATGGCCGATTTTTGTATACTAATTTTACTGTACTATTGTTGCAAACAGTATTTCCAGTATTAAATGTGAGATGGTAGAATTCAAAATTTATCGCAAAAATTCGATAGTTGTTTTAGAAGTGTAGCCCGTGGTGCTGCCACTGTAATTCAAATATTTCCAGTATTCGAATATAAGATAACTCTAATTTTATCGAAGTAATTTTGTAGAAGTGTCAGTAGTGCTGCCACTGAAACTCGAAGGGTTTTTATAATTACGCACATGCAAAACATAATTAATTTTTTTCTAGTAATGCAAATAGAAGTTTGGTTGCAAAAGTTACCAAAATGAAATAAAAGTTACCAAGTTACCAAACCGCTTAAAAGTTACCAATTTTGGTAGAAAGTTACCAATTGTGGCAACCATGCGCTCAACTCGGTTAAAATTTTTTTCAGCTACTTAAGCAACCCTTTTGGTATCTGGGAAGAAACATGTAATTAGTTTAATGGGATTTAGATACAAAAACTAATGGAGGTGAGTAATTGTGCGAGGTACTTGTGTAATATATATACTTGTTTAAAATATAAGTCATGTATATAAGGAAAAAAAATTTCCCTCTCCATTCTCCCATTAACTATTCACAATAGAGCATTTTTTTCACTTAACAACACCACCCTTCCGGTCACTTTTTTTAACCGACCCCGCTGAACTCGGATAAATAGCCGAGTTTGTGTTCTTGCTTTGCACACTGAGAAAAAAAAACGCGTTGTAAGAATATAAAATTTTTATTTGATTACCGTTTAAAAATGTTCGTTTTTAAATCAAGTGAAAATTCTTAACAAAAAGGATTTTTTCATTACACATACACTACGTATAATGGAAATATTCAAATCAAATACGTATTGAAATGAGGCATTTTCACTGCACGGATTCTTTTTCATACGTAATTAAGAAAGCATATCTATGTATACAAAGCATGCAAAGCGTACATACATACATATGTACATACATACATATGTACATACATACATATGTACATACATACATGTGTACATACATACATATGTACATACATGGTACGACATCATGCCACTAATCGCGCGCTGTGATGTTGATGCAAACTCTACATTTGAAAACACATTTATATGTATGGCTGTAGCTGAGTGTGCAAAGACGCTTGATACAATTGGTTGCTACCAAGAACGTCCGGGTTCAATTACCATCAGACGGAACATAAAATTAATTTTTTTTCGTCTTAATTTTAATTTCGTATAACGAAAAAGCTTCTGTGCACTTCGCAACGACATATTTTATAACGTACATTCTCAAATTTAAAACGAGTTGGGTTGGTGCTCTTTCATATGCGTATTTTTTTTAATTTAGCAAGTTTTTTTTTAATTCTAAAATTTTTTTCCCTCAGTGCATGTATTTCGTCATTTAAGCGAATGTTTTTTTGTCGCTCGGTTGCAAACGAATGCACCTATTAAAATTTTTTGTTCTAAAAGTTTGAAACTTCGATTAATATGGTTCTTTGATATAGTAAGCTATATTTCTATAAAAACATAACAAACATTTTTAAACCAAGAAAAATACCCAAAACTTGATAAAATGCCTCTAATTACATTCAGGGATGGGCGTTTTTGAATGAATTATTCAAATAAAAAGAAAAATTTTTTTCATAATGTTGGAGTATCAAAGTAGTTTAACTAGAATTAATGTAAAAATGTGTTACTTCAGATGCAACTCTGTTATTATCTTGTATTCAATTACTCTTGCCTTTCCTCTCTTGTATGAAAAACTAATGTCATTTCTCAGTTTGAGTTCGTCCATCGCAAAGCACACACGTTAATTAATTACATATATAAACGAATATTAACTCTGTTCATAATTCACATTAAATAAAGAAACTCTTTCTAATTGAACTTCTAAAAACTCGGTTGCTTTATCAGGTTATGGGCCCAGAGCCACATACCTGCGCTAAGGAAATATTCGTACGGAAATTATAAAAAAAAACGAAAAGTTTTTCGATAACGTATGCGCTAGTCTTACCAGTGTCGCGTGCGAGTAAGCAATGTTCAAATCGTCCAATCGATGTCGAGTGTGCGTATCGAGCCGCTAAACGCGGACGATTATGATACGTGGAAAATGCAAATGCGCGCGATCCTAATAAAGGGTGATCTGCGGACGTTTGCCGAAGGGAGCATAGTGTGTCCCACGGATACCGCGGAGGCAGCTGCGGGCGAGCGAATGACCAGAAGGCGTGTGCAGACATTATGCTTGCTATGGGTCCGTCCGAATTGGGACTAGTGGCGGAGTGCGAAAGTGCACGGAAAATGTGGTCAAAGCGGGGCCCGCCCGCAAAGCAACGTTATTAAAACGAGTTGCCCTTGCCCGAATGAGAGATGGTGATAGTGTAGGAAAACACCTAAATAATTTTTTTGATGCCGTCGCGAAATTGAAAGACATCAAGGTGGCGATCGATGATGAACTGTTAGCTATCTTACTATTATACAGTTTACCGGACTCTTTCAACGTGCTCTAGAGACACGAGATGACTTGCCAAAACCAGAAATTTTACGTGTTAAAATTCTAGAAGAAACGGAATCGTGAAAAGTGAAAAGAACGGTAAACGATGCGCTTTATGTTAAAAAGCTACAAAAACAAAACGGTGCTCACAAAAAGGAGGATCGTCACCCTGGCGCGAAACGTATAACTTGTTACCGATGCGCAGAGCGCGGACACTATGGGAAAAACTGTAAGGCAAAGGTAGAGCACTGTAAACAAGGTGTGAAGAAGGGCGATGATAAATTGTGTGAAACGCAGAGTGCATCTTTAAATGTCACTTAATCAGTGTTCTTGTGCCCTGGTGGAAATAAAAAGTGGTGGACAGTGGTTGCACTTCACATGTGAGTGCAGATAAAAACAATTTTAAAGAATTATCCGCAATGAACCAAGTGCTTAATTTAGCAAACAACAATTCCACAAAAATTGCAGAAATAGGTAGCGTAAAAGTTGTTGTGAACGAAAATGGGTGTGAGAAGGACATAACACTTAGTGATATGCTTTACGTGTCCGATTTACATACGAACTTATTAACGGTATTCAAATTCACAGACAAAGGCTATGTTGGGGCACAAAGCGTTTTTTGTTGCCCTTAGAAAGAAATTAAAACAACGTTGATGTGCTTAACTAATAATGAACTTTATTAAGAAATCAAAATATGCCAGATTAGACGTGTGGCCGTGTCGAAGGATGGACTGTAATTGTTTTTACAGAATTAGCATAGAATGTACAAAAGGTAATTTCTAGTCGCGTTATATGTATGTATATCCGTACGTATATATGTACATATGTTCGTGTTTATGTACATATGTACTTATGTATGTACCTATTTGCATAGGTAACCAGCTATTATTTTTCTACCCAGGCCGCTAGCGGGACATTATTTGCTATGTTGGGTGGTTATTGTTGGTCGTAGGTGGCGTGAGTTCCGCTTCTTGGCGTTGGTATAGAACTCGATGTTAAGGTGGATGTCACGCGCAAGAGTGAGGTGGGGGTGAGATGAAAGAGTGCGCTTGAAACTCCCTTCGAAGAGAGTGAGGGGGTGATGACAGCGAAGATGCGAAGATTGTGTGAGATGACGTAGCGTTTCGCCCAACGATAATAAAGGGTGCGACAAATATCAACGATGGTAAAAGGTGCGACACTAGTTGCCGTCCCTGAACATCCTCCCCCCTTGAAAGCCTTGCTTTCAACAATTACTCCTGTTCTGTAGGTGATACGATAGGCAGCTTGCAAATCTTGGCAACTGCTCGTTTATGAGTCCCATCGGCAGTCCGTACTACGACGACTCGTACCATGCCGTCATCACCTGCCACTGTTTCTACAATGCGTCCCAATGGCCATTTCAATGGTGGGGTATTCTCGTCCCTTACGAGCACCAAATCATTAACCCTTACGTTTTCTCGGGCTATTCGCCATTTCGTTCGCACTTGCAACTCCCTTAAATATTCAGCTTGCCATCGCTGCCAAAACTGCTGCTGTAATGCCTGGATAACTTGAAACCTTTTCAGCTTACCCATATTGATGTGTGATAAAGATGGCTCTGGAATATCAGTTAAACTTCGACCTATCAAAAAATGTGCTAGAGTTAAGGCACGAAGATCATCTGGGCTGCTCGACAATGGTGTGAAGGGTCGGCTATTGATCATGGCTTCGGCTTGGCAACAAACCGTGTGTAGCTCATCGAAGCATAGAATATTTGTTCCAACTGTACGACGTAGGTAGAATTTGGCTTGCTTCACAGCGCCTTCCCATAGCCCCCCAAAGTGAGGCGAACGTGGGGGAATAAACTTCCAAATTATCCCCTCCTCAACCATGAAGCCCTCAACCGCAGCGATGTGTTGTTGGGATTTGAATGATGTCAGCATCTCTTTAAGCTCGCGATTCGCCCCTACAAAATTTGTCGTATTATCGGAAAACATCGTATGGCATCTACCACGACGGGCGATAAAGCGCTTTAAACCAGCTATGAACGCCATGGTAGTCAAGTCAGGAACAAGCTCAAGATGGACTGCTTTCGTTGTAAAGCAAAAGAATACAGCAATGTATACCTTGACAGGGCCCTTACCTCGTACGCGTTGTGTGATGAGAAAAGGTCCACAATAATCGATGCCCCTTACCGCAAATGGATGTGACGGTTCAACTCGCTCCCGTGGCAGCGCTCCCATGAGTTGCTCTTGAAGCTGTGGCTTATTGCGATAACATAAAATACAACGGTGTACTACTTGCCTTATTATGCTGCGAGCATTTATGACCCAGAATTTGTCTCTTACGATGCTCAGCAGCGTTTGGCACCCAGCGTGCGAATGACGACGATGAAATGTTCGATGATAGTGCGAACGACCTCGGTAGTACAATGGGGTGCTTAGCGTCGAATGGCAGTGATGAATTGGTGATTCTCCCCCCAACGCGAATTATCTGGTTGTGTAGAAAGGGCGAGAGTAGATTTAAACTAGACTTTGGACTCACTCTGCCTTTCTGAAGCGCCTTGTATTCTTGAGGAAAGTATTGTTGCTGAAGGTAGCGAAGAACTAGCATCAAAGAGTCGTTCAATTCCGGAGTGGTTATGGCGCCAGGCTCAGTTGGTAATTTGCGAAGTTTGTCGAGGAAACGTTGAACGTAAGCAAATATTCGAAGAAGCTTAAAATAATTATTTACGAATTTGTGTTCAGCAACGATGTCTTCAACCTGCGTTACTAAAAGGGTGTGGTGTTGCTTGCGCTGCTCTGGCATATTAATAATGGCCTTCATTGGACTGGAAGGCCAGTGCTGTTGTTGTAATTGTATAAATTGTCGTCCGTGGAACCACAACTGGTTGTTGATGAGGTTGTGCACCGTCACTCCCCGCGACACTAAGTCAGGGCAGGGTGGTCTCTTTAGTGGGCGCTACTCTTGACTTTGCCGCGATAAGCGATGAATGTGGGCCTCCATCAGCGTTAGAAACAGCATATACGCACGCTCCGTAAGCCTTGGTACTCGCATCTGCAAAGGCATGCAATTTAGTGCTAGAGTTAAAACATACGAACCTTGAAAGATGAATTTTTTCGATGAAGGTGAGTTGGTTACATATATCGGCCCATTGTGTTTGAATCGCCAGAGGTACACTTTCGTCCCAGGTTAAGCGCAATTTCCATAATTCTTGCATCATTATTTTGCATGGGACGATGATGGGGTTTATAAGGCCGAGTGGGTCAAAGAAGCTGGCTATTTGCGAGAGTATCATGCGCTTGCTGGCCTTCTGCAGTCGTTTCTGAGACGGTGTGTATGAAAAAAATAAACAATCGGTAGCAGGCGACCACTTTAATCCTAACGTTTTGATGTAGTCAATGTTTTCAACGTTTATTACGTGTTCCTTGTCCGTCTCTGAAACATCGTCGATAATGCTCTGATGATTTGCTGCAAATTTTTGAAGAGGGAACCCTCCCTTGGCGAGTAAATCGATGACTTCCCTTTTGATTGCTTTGACTTCTTCAATTGTGGCGCCCCCTGTCTTCAGATTGTCGACATAGAAGTCTCGCAGAGTGACAGTAGCTCCAATTGGGTGGGTGGAGATGTTGTCGTAAGCCAATTGCTGCCAAAAACGGAGCACAACTAGTTCCGTATGTTACTGTCTGCAGCTGATAGGTGGTCACCGGCTCGCTTGGAGAATTTCGCCATAAGATGCATTGCCATTTCGCATCTCTTTCATCGACCATAATTTGCCGGTACATTTTCGTTATGTCGGCCATTAAAACATAACGATGTGTGCGAAAACGAAGCAATATTGTAAATATATTGTCTTGTAATGTCGGACCAACGCGGAGAATTTGGTTGAGGGCAATGCCGTTGTCGGTACGGCAAGAGGCGTCAAACACAACACGTAGCCTTGTAGTCGAACTTTCCGCCTTGGTAACGCAGTGGTGTGGGATGTACGTACCTACTTTCGATGACAATTCGCTTGGTGAAATCTTGACCATGTGTTGTAAATCGATGTACTCCTGTATGAAGTTCTTGTATTCGGCCCCGGTCAGATTATTTATCAGCATTTCCTTTTCCACTGATGAAAATCGACGACGGGCGATATCGTATGATTGCACTAGTTTGCTCGGGTTGGTGGAAAATGGAAGGCGCACAATGAATTTGTTGGTTTCTGGGCAACGTCTTGTTGTTTGCGTAAAGTAGTGTTCGCATTCTTGTTCCTCAGCGGTACGCATCGTTGATTTTTGTTGGTATTTGTCTTCCAAATTCCAGAACTTCTCTAAGAGAGTGTCCAGTGTCGGTTGCGAATGCATGGTGAGCGAGATATAACTTGATGTGTGTGATGAAAATGGTGGAGGTAACGACGACGATGATATTGGCGACGACGATGATGTTGGTTATGACGATGATGTTGGCGATGACGATGTTAGCGGCAAAGACAAGGATGATGATGTGATTAGTGACGACACTGAAAGCAGCGAAGATGAAGACGGCGATGAGTGTGATGTTATGGCTCCAGCGACGATCCAACCCAGTTGTGTTTTTTGGAGAGTCGGCAAGTGTTTGCTTAGTTTTATTTGACCCACTGATAGTATGTCAAAAAACAAACTCGCTCCGATGAGGATATCAATGGGTCCAGGATGATTAAATCGACTGTCGGCAAGGTTGATGTTGTTGGGAATATCCCAAGCGTTAACATTACTGCTCTGTTGCGGCTGGTTTGAAGAAATCGATGGCAATACAACAGCCTCTAGTACTGAAGAGAAACCAGATTGCAATGATTCGAATTTAATCGTTACAATGTGATGTGACATTGTAGTCACAGCACCAATTCCGCATATTTCTACATTTGCCTTAGTGCGAGGAAGCTTGAGTATCTGAGCCATGTGCTCAGTTATGAAATTCAACTGAGAGGCTGAGTCAAGGAGTGCCCGAGCCGTTATCTTAGTAGTGTGCATGTTGCTCAGCTGTACTAAAGCTGTTGCGAGAATGACGTCACTATGGCAATTGTGAATGTGAAGCGAAGCTGATGATGGAGATGCAGCCTCCTTTGTTTCCTGACGTTGGGACGCTAGTGTGTTACGATGTAAGAGCGTATGATGGCTGACCTTGCAATGTTGACATCTTCTGGATGATGGACAGTTGCTTGAAGAATGGTTCATGCCTAAGCAATTTAGACAGAGATATTTTCGCTTGGCTAGTAAGAAACGTTCCATTGGGTCTAACGCCATAAATTTGCTGCAGCTGAATGCGTTGTGAGTCGCTTGCTCGTCGCACAAGTGGCACTTGTTGGGTTGGGTTGAAACTAAGCTGGTGTGCGATTTCGATGAACGATGATGTGTTGATGGCGATAATGGTGTCCTTTTTGCTGATGTGTAAGGTGATGGGGGGTTCCGGCTGGCCTCAATGATATTAAAACTCTGACAGCGGCGCTCAAGAAACCCAGCTAAATCATCCCATGAAGGCAGTCTCAATGACGAAGAAGTATTGCTCCAGTTCGTGGCAACCTCGTCCTCCCACTTGGTTTGAGTGGCTTCATCGAGCTTAGAGGTAAGCATATGTAGAACTATTCCATCTGCTATCTGCGATTTTGATGCCAACGACTCCATGGCACGTAGACTGCCGTTGACTATATCGATAAACTCTCGTAAAGTGGATGCGGATGGCTTCACAACATGCTCAATTTCGAAAATCCTCTTTAAGTGTGATTGGAAAATTAAGCGTTTGTTGTCATACCGTGCTGTGAGTAGCTCGATAGCCTTTCGATAATTTATCGCTGTGACCTCTAGTGCCTGCACAAGGCGCGCTGCCTTGTCGGTTAAGCATGACCGAAGATACTGAAATTTTTCGATCTGTGATAGCTCGTTGTTGGTATGCACGAGCACGGAAAACATGTCGAAGAAATCTAGCCAATCTGCATGGTGGCCAGAAAATTTTGGTAATTGCAGCTTTGGTAAGTGGAACCTTGACTGCGACGTCGACGATAGAATGCGGGTGCTACTCAAGGTTTCGGGTTCAGCAGCACGAAGCTGAGCGAGCCGCTCCATGATAGCGGATTTTACGACGAAATACGCTGTTTCACAATTGGTACGATGCATTCCTTCTAACTCGGATTCATCGAGTTCTTCAAGGTGCGACTGGATTGCTTCAAAATTGTCCAGTTGACGCTGCAACATCTCGAGCTTGACCTTGAGCATCGGTTCAGCCAAAAGCGTTTTTTGTTGCCCTTAGAAAGAAATTAAAACAACGTTGATGTGCTTAAGTAATAATGAACTTTATTAAGAAATCAAAATATGGCAGATTAAACGTGTGGCCGTGTCGAACGATGGACTGTAATTGTTTTTACAGAATTAGCATAGAATGTACAAAAGGTAATTTCTATACGCGTTATATGTATGTATATCCGTACGTATATATGTACATATGTTCGTGTGTATGTACATATGTACTTATGTATGTACCTATTTGCATAGGTAACCAGATATTATTTTTCTACCCAGGCCGCCAGCGGGACATTATTTGCTATGTTGGGTGGTTGTTGTTGGTCGTAGGTGGCGTGAGTTCCGCTGCTTGGCGTTGGTATAGAGCTCGATGTTAAGGTGGATGTCACGCGCAAGAGTGAGGTGGGGGTGCGATGAAAGAGTGCGCTTGAAACTCCCTTCGAAGAGAGTGAGGGGGTGATGACAACGAAGATGCGAAGATTGAGTGAGATGACGTAGCGTTTCGCCCAACGATAATAAAGGGTGCGACAAATATCAACGATGGTAAAAGGTGCGACACTAGTTGCCGTCCCTGAACAGGCTATGAAGTGCACTTTCGAAAAAATGACGCGGTGGTGATTGATAAAAACGAAAATGTACTTTTTACCGCGGAAAGAAACGGAAACTTGTATTTTATAAAAAAATCGACGTGAGAATGCGTTCTCGGTCCAACCAAGCAACGACATCGACTTATGGCACTATCGAATGGGACACTTGAACGAGCGCGACTTAAAAGACTTGGCAAAGAACAAAGCGGTTTATGGGCTTGAGATAAAATCAAAGCAAAATCTATCGGTATGTGAGGTGTGCGTGAGTGAAAAACAAACACGCGCGGCTTTTCCTAAAGGAAATCATAATCGCACTAGTGACGTACTGGAGATCGTGCACAGTGACGTATGCCCATCCAACTCGGGAGCAAAATACTTTGTCACTTTTATTGATGAACATTCACGGTGGTGCGAAGTGCATTTTATTAAAAACAAATCGGAAGTGCTCCAAGCATTTAAGAAATACAAGGCAACGGCCGAGACATTTACGGGTCGGAAAATAAAAGCGCTGCAATCGGACAACGGGCGAGAATACTGCAGTCGGGAGTTTGACGATTTTCTCCAAAAGTACGGAATAAGGCGCCGTTTGTCTTCGCCTTATACACCTCAACAAAATGGCAGGGCCGAGCGCAAAAACCGAACACTCGTCGAAATGGCCAGGTGTATGATGAAGCAAGCGGGCGTATCTCCCTCCTTTTGGGCTGAGGCGATCAATACGGCGTGTTATCTACGGAAATCGGTGCATACCAAAAACGACGCGAGAAGTGCCAAATAAGCTGTGGTCAAATGAATCTCCTACAGTGACTCACTTACGAATTTTCGGTTCAAAAGTATACGTGTTAAACAAGGACAAATCGAAAGACAAAATGCAGTCTAGTTCCGTGCCCTGCGTAATGGTGGGTTACTCCTCAGAATCGAAGATTTATCGGCTGTGGTCAAAAGAAAAACGAAGCATAATAATTAGTCGAGACGTCAAATTCTTAAATGAACCCAGTTTTGATAACGAGTACGAGGAAATATGCACATTTGAAGACGAAAGTGCGGTAGAAATACCAATGCACACAAAAAATCAACCAGTCGTAATTGAAAAAGATGTTGAAAAGGCGAGTGAAGATGAAATACTGGAGAAATAGATGAAACGGGGTAGAGGCAGACCAAGGCTGCTACGTGGCCAAAATGGAAGGCCAAGAAAGATTTTTTCGCAAGCAGATGATCCAACAGATGATCAAGCGGATGACACCTCGCCGAGTAACAAAGACGGCGGAGTAAATTCTGAAGAAGAAGAAGAAGATGACCTCTTTGAAGAATGTGAGATGGCGTATCTTGTGGCTGACGCAGGTCCACTAACATGGCGTGAAGCAGAAGCTGGCCCTGATGCTGAAATGTGACAAAAAGCGGTAGAAGACGAGTAATTGGCGCAAATAAAAAACAACACTTGGGAGATCAGCGAAAGCCCATGTCAACGAAGGGTCGTTGGGAGCCGTTTAGTGTTCCGTACCAAAGACGATGGTAGGAAGAAAGTGCGTTTAGTGGCCAAGGGTTAGGAACAACGTGAAGGGGAGGACTTTCACGAGACGTATGCGCCGATAGCGCGTTCCACATCGATACGGCTATTGGTTGCTTTATCAGCTAACATGAAACTCGAAATACATCAAATGGATGTAGTTACGGCCTATCTAAATGGAAATCTCGACGAGAGTGTCTACATGGAGGGGCCAGAAAGGTTAAGCGTGATACTCAAAAAAATAAATTCAGGTGAGCCAATTGGTAGTAAGGGTACCACGAATCATAGCAAAGACGTCGAGGATACAGCATATCGATGGCTGAAGAAGCTACAGCAAAGCAGCAACCCTGTATGCAAGTTGAAAATGGCATTAGCCCTGTTCGCGTACGCACTATCCAGTAAATGCAGTACTAATTTTACTGGTCATTTTCGTACACAAAAACGTGCAAGAAACTAGCAAAAGAGGGGAAATTGAAATAGCAAAAATGACAGCTGAACTGGCAAGTTTTTCTGGATTTTTACTGGATAAATATTTACTAGCAACTATTTGCTAGTAAGAAAAACAGCTGGTGGCATGATGCCTATTGTAATTCATATTAACAAAATAACTGTTTGTGGTGCTGTTAGAGTTGCAATTGACCAAATAAACCTATTATTGAAAAATACTAGTTTTCTAAGAAAATTGCATCGGAAAATAACAAATTAATCAGCTGTTCATAAAACTAGCTACTTCTTGCTGGTTTTGCGTTTTCGTACTTTCTTGCATATTTCATTTATTGTGAGTAAATATTGGCTGAAACATATAGACGTGCGACATCACTTTGTGCGAGAATGCCATAGGCGCGGTGCGATCTCATTGTGTTATATGCCAACCGAGAATATGCCGGCGGATTTTCTCACGAAAGGTGTACAACAAATAAAACATTGCAGATGCAGAGCAGCATTGGGCGTCGAAAACCAACGCAAGGGTGGCAACTATCTCACTACTTGGTGGGGAGGTGTTGGAGTATCAAAGTAGTTTAACTAGAATTAATGTAAAAATGTGTAACTTCCGATGCAACTCTGTTATTATCTTGTATTCAGTAACTCTTGCCCTTCCTCTCTTGTATGAAAAACTAATGTCATTTGTCATTTTGATTTCGTCCATCGCAAAGCACACACGTTAATTACTCACATATATAAACGAATATTAACTCTGTTCATAATTCACATTAAATAAAGAAACTCTTTCTAATTGAACTCCTAAAAACTCGGTTGCTTTATCACATAATATTTTTAATTTTGAATGACGAATAAATTTTCATTCTTCATTCAAGCACTGAATAAATTTTTATTCATCATACAAGTAATTTCAAATAACGAATAAATTTTTATTCTTAATTCAATCACTTTAGAATGATGAATAAATTTGTATTCCTCATTCAAGTAATTCCAAATAACGAATGAATTTTTATTCTTCATTCAAGCACTTTCGAATGATTAATAAAATTTTATTTATCACTCAAGTAATTTCAAATATCGAATAAATTTGTATTCATCATTAAAGTAATTTAGAATGACGAATAAATTTATTTTCTTCATTCAAGTAATTTCAAACAGGGCTGCACATTAACGTTAATTTTATCAATAAACGAAAATATAAAATCGTTTTGGTTTTTTACATCGATAATGTTAACATTGGGCACGTTCAGAAGGCGCAACAGCTCAGTAAATGTTGCGATTGCACCTTCTGAACGCGATGTTGAGTACTTCTGATCAACTGAACAGTTGCGTGTTAGATGATCGTAATATTTTTCTGATCATTTGAGACAACATGTTGGTGTGTACCTCTGAGAGTTGAATTTGACAGCTAATGCATCAAGCCGTTCAGAAGACGCATAACGATCACTGATTTTTTTAGCAACGGTTGCGGTCAACTGCTGCGCCTTCTGAACCTACCCATTATGTGTTTATAAAAAAAATCGTTTTGTTAATTATCAGAAAAATATGTCAACAAAAATTTTGTTTTATTGATTATAAAAAAAAGATAACAAAAAGAAAAATTGTTTGCTGCAAACATATATGTAATACTCCTATATTGGCAGTAAGAGCTAGTACCGTCCGAAAACACTACAGTACAGATACATATATAAATCAACACGTACGAAAGAAAAGGAACACATACGTTTATAAACCCACCATGCAAAATATGAGAAATAGGCAACAATCGTCAATGCCAACAAATTGGCGACTCACCGATTTATTGCTGTGGGGACAAATCGGCAACATCACTCCGTTCATGTCAATTTTGAATAAAAAAGTTCTCAAAAATTCCGAAACTTATGAATATGCCGTCAATAGTATTGGCCAAAAGCATCTAAATTATGCCCAAGGACAAGATTGAAGAAATAGGAAGCCTCACAGCGAGAAAATTAATTATTTCCGATTTGGTATACAAAAAAATAAATGAAGTATCAAAAAGAATAAAATTATTCCAAATATCGCCTGAAGCGATAAGAAAAGGACTCATTCAGGTAATAAGAAAACGACTCGCCCAGGCGTGTTGCCTTCGGCGGACGTTTTAGAGCGACCGGTAACAGGAAATCGATTCGATGGCAATATTACCGGCAATAAATTTGTTTCCGAGGGCGACACGTTTTCTTATTGCCGGCAACACAAATTGTTTGGTGGGAATAAACATGTACACAACACATATACAAAAACGGCACTCAAGTACACAATACATTGACAAAAACCGTACTAAACTGTCTCGCTTTGATTTCGGAATGCTTACACTTTATGAAGTTAGCTTACTGCCAATATAGAAGTATTACATATATGGCTGCAAACATAAAATTTAATAAACAGGCATATTTTATTATTTG